TATTAGAAGTACATTTCCAATAAAAGCACACATAATCCAAAAATGGCATTTAGTGTATGGTGAATCATTTCAAATAGGACTTATTTTGACAATAGACGCACCTATGTCATTTATAGGAGTGCATGTGCTACTAATAGGACAAAAGCAAGAGACTGTGAATATTTGTTGGGGTTGATTTTCACTTATTTTGTAGATAGCTATAGTAAACAAACTAAATCAAAATCAAATTTATGTGAAATTAATCACTGAACATAATTATTTTCTACACATAATCACAAATTTAAAACAGTGAGGATAACCATCCGACATCAAATCATGGAAGGTACTAACCGTTAGTACCTAACCGTTAGTACCTTCCATGTCGCAATTAAACACGTTGTTTTTTAATAAACACTACCAGTACTTTTCATGAATAAAACTATGACAAAATTTTAAACTGTAAATATTTTTATTTTCGTTTGGAACTTACCGGTATTTTTGCTATTTTTGGGATGTTTCAGTAAAAATTAAATCCATCGAATATACCTCTTTTCCTATATTTTACATTTGACTTATCAAAAATCAGTGAAAATAAATTCTATACAAAACACCCCAAAAGTCTTTTCAGTGTAAATTAATTACAGCTAAATGTATTTTACAGTAATAAACCACTATGCATGTTTACTGACCTCATTTTTCATCATTGCAGCCCGCCTAACCATCACATCAGGCTTAAAGTTCTCATATTTCTTAAAGTCCTCCCTGTGAGTTGATGAATTCCTGTGATCACTTTTAAGAAACTGAAAAGGAATGTGAAACAATGAGTTATATTTTAATGTTATATATTCACATGGTTTATATGAACAGCTGTCAAAATTTTTACCAGTGCACTAAAACAAACGCGATATATACACCGCATCAGCATTTTCTGACACTCTAAATTCGATAAGTGAATCAGTGCTCTATAAAATATGCTTCATCAAGCATCTACCGGCAATGTTTTGAAACTGTTGATGTATGTGTAAATAAATAAACATTTGATAACAGGGGGAACTATTTGCACCATTGAGTTCCAAATGCAACCCAATCGAGGTAAGGAGTTTACTGTTAATATTGCTATGCTTGTAACATTTACAATAAACACCGAACCCTAGCAGGCCATTAAACAAATAGTTTTTTACAAATTCGCAAATAGTTTTCAGATCTTTCGTTTAAGCACGTAGCACTGTGCGTCTATATAAATACACCGTTTTGCAGGTGTCTTTTAATTTAATGTATTTACGACCTTTGCCCAATGGTGATTTCACAAGTTAGAAATAATAGTATACTATTCCGAACAACTACCTTGAGGCCGTACATAACTTTTGAGAAAAGCACCTGTACAAGTCAAGTGCCTATCCATTTTGAGATTTGTGATAATCGCCGACTGCTGATTGTGGGTGGATGTGTCATGTTTCTATCCCCTGGATACGCGTGTTTTGGTTCTGAAAATTTAACGCCCTATGTAATGGCAATAAACCAATAATAGCACAGACGTCAAAGTTAATCTGTTTATGCGAGTCTGGCTGAGCACGGGCGTCAAATAATTGAAATATCTTACCGAATATCGCTCTTCCGACCAGTTGCCAATCAACACCCCCTGCTTATATCTCTGTTCTATCCTCCAACCGGGCATATACCATTTGTGGGGGCTTCCCTGTGCCATTTCGGTGATGATAACGCCGATAAAACAGTGGACACACGTCTATAACTGGGACAACAAAGTGTGTACTTTTCGCGTTGTTATTTAGAAGCTGGGCGAGTTACCGTCAGTAACTGTCTTCAATCAATCCGCAAACATCATTGTGCGACCGTAAATCCGTATTTGGTCAACACATTGTTATCATTTGTTGTTAATCACAGTTTCGTTTCATTTTTTTACCATATCATTTTACTGAATATATTTGTAAACACCCGACTTATCGAGCACTATGTTTTTCAGCGCAATAACACTGCGGTTTCCTGCTGCACCTGTTGCTAAGACGCCATTATCCGTTGTCAAGAAGTGTTCCAGAATGTTGAGCGCCTCCACACGATGACTACGTGATCGAGGTCAGGCCGCAAGCCTGGGCCGCAGGTGATTTTCGCCTAGGATATAACCGGTCATCATTCCACACAGAATGTGACAATTGTCAATGACACAATGGAAAATTTACCAATATGTCACCACCCTAAGGGTCTTAGCAACGATGTAAAATGTCCATAATGTAAAAATTAAAAAAAAACATGAGGGGAGAAAAGCAAGAATTTCCAAATTTGTTCTGCAATCTTCACTCCAAAGTTTTTTTTTGTTTTTTTTGTATATACAAATGTATCACAACTGTGTATCACCTTAGCATCATATTATCATAATTGTACGATGTCACATTTTTTCGGAATGTCAAGCGATTTTATATATACGTTCTTGAAAATCTTCATCAAATCAAATCTTTTTCTGAATATCAGCTGTTTCACCGAATCCTGGAATGAACTCAACGACTAGTATTAGTACGGACAATACCCGGGGACAATACTTTTAGTATACGATGTACTCGGGTATACATTTCGGTATTTTGTTCCAATCTTTTATTATTGAATTCCGCAAAATAGAAAAAAATACAATTGTTCCCGTCTCGTGAAACTTTTTTTTTTAAATGTTATCGATTTTTTTTATAACAAAAATATCGAAGCTGGCAGGTTACGGCAATACCCAATGATGAACTATAGCTGAATTATTGTGCACAGTTGTAAGATTCAAGCAAAGAAAGGAAGAAAAACGGATCAATTCGAACTTGAACCAGAATATTCAGAGACAGAATAAATCCCAATCATGAACTTTACGTGACGATCTTACTCGGTTTTCCGTCCGGGATTCCTAGAAAAAACATGGTATTGTTTTTTTCTTCAAGATCGTAATTGGCCATAATGGAGTGTAATCACTTTAATCAATTTGAATTTGAGAGGAGAATATAAACACTCATCTAACGATAAGTCTGTTCAATTGTCGTCTGTGCTGTTTCAGCTTAGCGTTTTCGACCGGAATAATGACACGACAGAAAAGTTAAGTCAGAACTCAGAAAACGGAAACTTAAGATAGATTGAAACATAACACCACGAAATCGTGTTTTAACCTAGAATTTATGCGATATATAGCGAGTGTTGGGTATAATAGAATTGGCGTGAAATCAAACCGTTAAATATTTCACATCATAGTCCCAAGAAAAATCTCAGAGTACAACTTTAACGGTTCGAGACTACCCATGACGCATAACATTGGATCATACAAAAATCATTACAATTAGCTAACACTTGTTTATTCGTTCGAGAACTTGAATTTAAGGTTTTCTCTTTCTATCGATTTCAATTATGAATTATGATCACCAAGTCTAAATTTTGATACTACTTCATGAAAATTCTAATTAATTTTAAATAATTTACTAATAAAAAAAAATCAATGGCAAAAATCAATATATGATTAAACAAACGGTAATTTAGGTTTTCGCCCATTTAAACTTCAAGGTCTTCGCATGTATCATTGAAACGGATTATTCAGAGTCCCAAGATTTCTATACTATGATTTTATTTTATTTTATGTTGTTGTTGTTCACAAAACTGAAATAAAAACATATGGTCACTACTTTTTGCGTAAAATGGCTTCAATGAAAACGGATTAT